AGAAAGCTGAAATTTTGGGATTATGTTTCCAGTCCAGTTAGAGCTCAAAGATTTCAAATTCAGCCCACGCGGGTTCGTGGTTTCCGCGTACGGCCCCTTGAGGGTTCCTGGCGCGAAAATTGCTAGCTCGGGAACCAGGGAAGCTGGGAGGCTGAAATTTTCAGGAACTGTTCCCTACTCATCTACAACTTCAATTTATCAAATTCAGCCTCTCGCCATGCATGGTTTTTGACGGGAAAATGAATAACTCCAGAACCGGGGAAGCTGGGCGGCTGAAATTTTCCGGAAATGTTCTCAACTCATCTACAACTGCAGTTTATCAAATTCAGCCCCCCAGTGTGCGGGGCTGCCACGTACGACCCCGTGAAAATTTTTGGCGGGGAAATGAATAACTCCATAACTAGGGAAGCTGGGAGGCTGAAACTTTACAGGAAATGTTCTCAACTCATCTACAACTTGAATTTATCAAATTCAGCTCCCCGTTATGCGTGATGGTTGCGCACGGCCCCTTGAAATTTTTTAGCTGCGATTTCGGTAACTCGGGAACTGAGAAAGCTGGGAGCCTGGAATTCAAGGGAATGTTTCCTGTCCAACTATAGCGTGGATAATTAATTTCCCGAAATTCGAGCACCAGTACGTACAAGAGGTTTCTAGCTAGCGGAACTTCGAGTAATTTTATTACAGCACGAAACACTGCAAAAACGCATGATCGCACGGGTCCTCCCAGTGCGCGTCGCCAATGATTTTTACTTTACGCATGCCCAGCTGGTGGCTGTTTCACTAATACACAGATCCATTATGACCTACTTCTAATCTGTGCAGTGCATGAAAAGCAACAAAATTTTTGGCTTACTCAGATATGAATTCCGACCGTCAACACCTGAATAGATGTATGCTTACAAATCACAAAATGGGAAGTGAGCAAGGCTCGTCTTGCTCTGTGGTTGCAAAAAAGATCAAAAAGTCTCAATATTTCAACTTCCTTGTTATGAATTTACAATATTAACATAAATTTAGCCCTGGT